AATATCGTCCGCATACTCCAAGTCAAGAAGTAGCTCCACACCATCTAGGTCGTGTCCAGCGAACGCTGTTTCCATGACTTCATCAATAGCGAAGTTGAAGAGGAAAGGTGACAGCGGGCATCCTTGTCTCACACCGCTGGTGATACTGAAGGGTGGCGAGAGTTTGCCATAAACCCTCACCCTGCCCGAACTATGCGCGTACAGCGCTTTGATAATGTTTACATATTTATCAGGCACACCTTTCCTCAGCAGACAGTCCCAAAGGGCACATCGATCGACCGAATCGAAGGCACCTTTTATGTCAAGAAACACGACAACGGTGGGTCGCCAATAAACATGGCGGTGCTCCAACACTTGACGCAATGTGAAGATGTGGTCGATGCAGCCCCGACCTCGACGAAATCCGGCTTGCTCTTCACGAATCTGGCTTTCACGAGTGCCAGTCAATCTGTGGAGAATGACAGAGGCAAGCAATTTAGAGGCAATCGAAATCAGACTGATCCCTCTATGATTGCCGCCTTCCAAACGAGAGCCTCCCTTGAAAATTGGGACAATGACGGAGCGGTTCCAGTCTGTCGGGACTGTCTCCTGCTTCCAAAGTCTTACTAGCAACTCGTGTAGATCGTCTACTACAGCAGGTCCCCCGAATTTGAAATGAGCTGGGGGAATTCTATCTGCTCCTGAGGACTTATGCAATTTCAACAGCCGGATCTCACGTTCGACCTCTGCGCGTGAGGGCGGATCCGAGGAGACGGCCCAAGGAGAAGGGCGCTCAATGCCCAAAGAAGAAAGCGATAACTCAGGTTTGTTAAATTGCCTTGCAAAGTGTTCGGCCCAACGCTGCAAGCGTTTTGACAAGCTGTGGATCGGCTGCCCACTCTCGTCGCGTATGGTCTCGCTAACACCAGGTCTCCTGCTGCCTGTTTCCCGTATCAGATGGAATAACTTACGATGATTACCAACGGCAGCGTCTGTTTCCATCTCAGAGGCACGATGAGACCACCAGGTTTCGCGGTCCTTCCTTAGACTAGCATGTAGTTTTGCCCTGAGATTTTTGCGAGCTTCATTGTATTCGCTTCCAGCCGGAATACGTCGGCGAGCATCCATAAGTTCCAGAGACTGTGTAGAGACCCAATGTCCGGTTTTGCAATTTGTTTTGCCACATGAAGACATGCCTGCTAATAGCAACGTTTGACGAGTATGCGACCAGTGATCTTCAACGGTGTTTAGTGGGCTCTTACTCAGCCCAGATGTCAGCGCACTATGGTATACATTCAGAACATCTGGCTTCGCCAACTGGCTGGTGTCAATCCGTTCACCTCGACGTTGCGGACGTCCACCGAAACGCACCAGGAGGTCGGCACAGACAAGTGCGTGGTCAGAGTCCACGCTCGTGCTCCAAATTGAGCGACAATTCTGGACACAGCCCCTCCAGCGGTAACTGATCGCGATATGATCGATTTGTGTCCATGGTTGGCCCGAGGCTGATGGCCGCCAAGTCACGCTTCTGCGGGTGCTGTGTCGGAAGTTAGTGCTCGCGAGAAAGAGGCGAGCATCTTCACACAGATGTAGCAATCGTTCACCATTATCATTACGGGAGCCTACACCATGTTGGCCGCCCAGATGAAGCTCATCAGAGGACAACTTTCCGACTTGGGCGTTTAGATCACCAGCCAACACCACAGTATCCGTGCTTCTTCTGTAACGAAGGAGCTCGTGAAGTTGCTGATAGAAATCATCTTTTACCGAATCAGTGCTACAGTTTGTAGGGGCGTAAGCCGCAATGACAAACAGGCACCGTTTGTCCCCGCGCGACTTCGTAGCACGGAAGGAACCAGCTAATCTAACGGCACACATCCTACTGTTTAGTGGGATCCAATCAATCAGGGCAGCTTCAGCCCGGGGACTCAAAACAATGCCGACGCCAGCTTGACCGGCATTTGAAGCTGCATCATCGCCAGACAGGCGCAATGAGAATGTGCCGCCAGTGTCGCATGTGGGGGATCTCAGGGTAAGTACGGAGCTCGAATCTTGCAGGCGGGTTTCTGATAAACAGCAAATATCGATCGATAGGGTCTCTAGTGTGCGGGCGAGTGCTGCCTGTTGGCCAATCTGCAGCAAAGTGCGCACGTTGAAGCATGCCAGTCTTAGCGAGACGCGAGGACTCCAAAGGGAAACGGATGAACTGACGTTGTCCGCTTGCTTGAACATGGACTTGACGACTGGATTGGAGCGAGGTCCTGCGATTGTGTGTGATTTGAAATTAGAAGACAAGCGACTACTGAAGAAAGCTGGGGGAGGGCCAAGAATTGGGGGATTGAAAATGGGGGGATATAAGTAAAGTTGGCGCGGGACGATAAGGATGAAGAAGCGCAAGAAGGGGTATAAGAAGACGGGAAGGCCTGAGCAGTAGCATCCAAACCCCTATCCACCCTGCTCGATGCAGCAGATAGGGCGCCGTTGATTATCCTCTGCGACGGCCAGAGCATCAAGAAATTGTTGTAGGAATGTTTCATTGGACCAAGTCATCACTTATCCACCCCTTTGAGCAAACAACGCACGTCGTGGAAGTCTATGGGCTAGCACGCGCAACACGTGGCCGAGCCATGGGAGCCTGGTGCGTGAAATGATGGTGATGAGCGGTTCAGTTCCTTTTTCTGTGCCTTAAACAAGGCGTCGAACACGCTCGTTACTCACGCGGTGTTCTCACCAGATGTGAGCCAAACTGCGAAGGCACCGATGGTCGAACGTAACTAGCCTCTTCATGTCCACCGATCTTAAGGGCCAGGTTACACAACCGTACAGTAGGGTGGAATGTACCGCTGCATTGTACACTCTACCCTTCAGGACGAGATTAATGTCGCGGGGCCGCCATAGGTGGCGAAGGTTAGCAAAAGCACTTCGAGGTTTGCTATACGGTTCATGATCTCGTCTTCGATCCCAAGTGTGCTGATACAACTCCCCAGATAGTTGAATTTCCTAATGACTTCTAGCTGATCCCCATCAAGGGTCAGCGCAGGAGGCGATCCCTGCCAATCTTGGAGGAACGCTTTGCACTTCGGTGGTGCAAAGCAAAGCCCGAAGCGGCTGACAGCCAGTGCTAATCTGTCCAGCGCGGCTTGGCACGTCTGGGAGTTGTCACAGATGAGGGTTATGTCGACTGCATGAATATATATATATATATATATATATATATATATATATATATATATATATATATATATATATATATTTCATCACTGGACAACTTTCCAACTTGTGCGTTCAGATCTCCCGCCAGCACAACAGTGTCCGTGCTTATTCTGTGGCGAAGGAACGGTGTCTGTTGGCGGTAGAAGTCGTCTTTTACTGAATCATCGCTAGTTTGTGGGTGCATAGGCAGCGATGATGAATAGACACCTATTAGTCGCGCGCGACTTCGAAGCTTTGAACGAGCCAGCTACTCGGACCGCACACATCCGGCTACTGATTGGAATCCAGTCAACCAGAGCAGCTTCAGCCCGGAGACTCAGGGCAATACCAACACCGGCTTGGCCGGTGCTCGAAGTTGCATCGTCACCGGAAAGGCGCGTCATCATCATCAACAGCAGTACATCAGCCATTTGAACTGATGCTTCGCTGCCGTACAACCATGAGGAACTATGAAATAAAGAATAAGAAGAGGGAGAGAAGGGGGACTTACCTGAAAACCTTAATGCCCTAAGCAAACATTCTGGGTCAAGGCGCCTACACCTTGTGTTAACAACATACCGCCACAAACAGCTGGCTATCGTGCAAAGATGAGGCGGCATCGGCGAGACAGCCTCCTTGCGGCTTTCACTGCCACGCGTCATAATCAGCCATTACCCCACTGATAACTCAGCACCAAACACACTTTAAACAGACAATCCGATTAGGAGACGGCAGCAGACGCGCCACTGGTGTCGGTTGCGAGCCATGTCCTGTAAAGTCTCGAGCCAAGCACAAGGTGAGTCACGTGGACTCCAACCCGCAAGGCGAGACGGACCAACGGCACCCAGTTTGGTCGTCAGTGACTTCATTTACCGCTGCCAAGTCAACTTCTGTCCACCTCGAGCCCTGCGCCACCCTACACGTGGCAGGCTAAACAAGACCCTCCTAGGTAAGCGATGACTAGAGCAAGTGCTGCTTGCGTCACCTGAAAGGGATCACCAAGTGAGCACGGAGCTCGAGTCTTGCAGGCGGGTCTCTGGTAAGCAGCAGTTATCGATCGAGTGGGTTTCTTATGTTAGGGCAAGTGCTGCCTCTTGACCGATCTGTAGTAATGTGCGTACGTTGAGTCATGCCACTCTGAGGGAGGATCGAGGACTCCAAATGGAAGCCGGCGAACTGGACTTGGCCGCTTGGTTGGGCATGTGCTTGTCGACAGGGGAGGAGTGACGCTCCGCGTTAGCATGTGAGATGAAATTAGAAGACAAATGCCAACAATGCAAGGTGAGGGAGGGCCAAGAATCGGGGAATTGCAAACTGGGAGATATAAGTAATGTTGGAACGGGGGCGGTAAGAGTGAAAAAGGGTAAGAGGGGAATAAAAAGATGGAAAGGCTTGAGCAGTAGCATCCAAACCCCTATCCACCCTGCTCGATGCAGCAGATAGGGCACCGTTGATTACCCTTTGTGGTGGTCAGAGCATCAAGAAATTGTTTGACGAATGATTCATAGTATTGATGCGGGTCAGCGAAAGCCGAAAGGAAACTGTTTCGCCGATGCCGTCTTATCTTTGCAAGATAGCCAGCGGTCTTTGATGGCATGTTGTTAACACAAGGTGTAGGCGCCTTGAACCTGAATGTCTGCTTAGGGATTGAGGTTTTCCGGCAAGTCTCCCTCTTGTTATTCTTCTTTCCGTTGGTCGTTATGGTTTTATGGCATCGAAGCATCAGTTCAAAGAGTTGATATACTGCTGTTGATAATGAGCTCCGACTCTTACTAGATAGTTGTAATAAATTGTCCAGCCGCCTACGAAGTGTGTGTTTTACCTTTCAGCCCCCTCTGCCTATTACGACCCGCGTACGCACCGGACACGGAAGCCATCGGTACCCTCGGTCTGACGGATATTACGCCGACCACTGACATTGTTCCATGGTGTTTTCACTGGTCCTTCTCCTTATCTCTGTTCTGCCGTCTTATGGATTTTACTTGCCTGGTTTAGCACCGACCAGTTATTGCACGTCAGAGATTGCGCGTAGCAACAATTGCAAAGTAACACCTATTCGTCCTTATCATCGTCTCAGAATGAAATTCCACTTTATGTGAATAAACTAACTTCCCCCAAGTCCTTCATTTCATTCAACTATGTGAGGTTAGTGCCCTTTGGTTGTGTGAAACAGTTACCCTCTTTGTTTCTTGCTGTTAATCTTGTGTTTGTGAGTGTTGTGCCTACTGCGAGTATTCCTCATTTTGCACCAGCAGATCTTACGACTTTTTTGGCACTACGGTCTTAAGTGTTGGACAGGCTTCTTAGCTGAGCCCCGGTTAAACCTTTTCCGTAGGCAGGCCGAACCAACAAGAGCACGCCGCAGACCTGACATGAACTTCAGGAGGACCAGTGTACACGCAAGCAACAGTGCAAACGACCTTTTAGCGATATATTACTTGCATTTACAACATTGTAGTTCCATACACTTCTATTTTTACTGCCCATTTCCCTTTGTTACTGTGAGTGCTGTCTGACTGCTTTGTCCGATAGTCGTGGCTGGGGAGTCGGTCGACCGTTATGCGGACTCCAGTATTGAGCATATCTCATCCGTATTTTTATAACCACCTACTCGCTGAGCGAGCATAAGCTAAGCGAATCTAGTATCTGATTGGTTTTCATTTTTGGCTGGGTTGTCGCTCTCGTCCTCAAACCCGACACGTCGACGTGAACTGAAAACGAGCTCCTGTGCGTTTTGTCCTTTTAAGACTATCCATCAGTGAAACAAAGCAGAACCTTCAATTGCTTATTTACTCTGATCATGGTATCTAAGTGCCTTAATTACGGTAAAGGTGTTACTTTTCGAACAAACGCAGTACGATGCTCCTTTTGTACTGATTGGCGACACATCGCCTGCTGTGATATCGCTCCCCATCTGTGTATGTCACCAACGGTCCACGTCTTCGGCTATCATTTTTCATTTTGACTCTTGTCGAATTGCAGTGAAAGATAGGCGTGTTTTGAACGGATTGTCTACACTCAGCCCGTGGCCCACTCCTAGTCAAACAAAGGGACACGTTGCTGCCAAGTTTCTGAGATCTTGTCAATACCCACTTCTGACTCAGCCACTCCTTCTGGCAGGCGAACTCGTGTTTCCTCGTCGATGGTTTGCTTACCTCAGCGATCCATTGCGCTACGCTGGGTGGTACTTTTTGCACCTTCTGAGCCACTCACCAGATTGGTCAATGGTTAGAGACCAGGCAAACTCAGTCTCCTGGCCCTGCAGCTTGGGGGTTGGAGTAAGGATGGCTCCTTATTCCTTAAAATGGACTCCTTGTAATCCGCTTCCAAACCGCTGCCTTGTGGTAAGGTTTTTGAACCGAAGGCTTTCGTTGAGAACCCTAATCGTGCTCCTGTCAAGGCCTGGGCAAGCTGACGGTATCCTGCCCACACAGTATTCTGAATCTTTCCTCAATCAATTTTCTGATGCTCTGGCCGTCGGAGAGGATATTCCTCGGGGTCACCAATGTAGCGAGAGTGGCCGGCTTACGCTAACAGACAGCTCCCAAGCATGTCAAGTGGCACTCGACAGATTAGCACTGGCTGTCACCCGTTTTTTTTTCTCTATGTTTTGCACCCTCGAACTGCATAGCTTTCCACCAAGATTACCAGGTACCGCCTCTTTCGCTGACCCTTGGTGGGGATCAGCTAGAAGTCGTTCAGCTACCTAGGTAGTTGTATCAACGCCGTTGGAATTGTAGACGAGGCCACAAACCGTATAACAAAAGCACAAGGCACTTTTGCTAACCTTCGCCACCTTTGGCGTCGGCGCGACTTCACTCCCTGAAGGGTATAGTGTACAATGCAGCCGTACGTCCGACTGCTTTACCGTTTGGAGACCTGGCCCATTAAATCGGCAGACATAAGGAGAATAGTTGCGTTTGACCACCGGTGCTTTCGTAGTTTGACTCATATATCGTGGGAACACCATGTGAACAATGAGCGTGTTCGGCGCCTTGTTTATGGCGCATCATCATCATCATTATACATGTCAGCTAGAGATGGTAAAACACCTCCGCTATTGTACCGCAAGTATTGCGTGGGCAGGATACTATCAGGTTGCCCAGGCCTAGACAGGAGAACGATTAGGGTTCTCAATCAAAGCCTTTGGTTCGAAAACCTGACCGCAAGGCAGCGGGTTTGGCGTTGGGCTACAAGGAGTCCATTTTAAGGAATAAGGTGCCACCCTCATTCCAACCCCCAACCTGGAGGACCAGGAGGCTGAGTTTGTCTGGCCTCTAACCATTGACCAATCTGGTATGAGTGACTCTGAAGGTGCAAAAGCACCACCCAGCGTAGCTCAATGGATCGCTGAGGCACACAAACCATCGCACCACGGTAAGGTCCAGCCTCATTGCGATGGGTTTATGGCGCAGGAAGAAGAAGCGAACCGCTCAGCACTATTATTTCACGCACCAGGTTCCGATGGCTGGGCCAGCCCACCGACTCCCACGAAGTGCGTTGTTTGCGCGCCTAGCTTGTGGATGGAAGACGATGAGAGGTGGCCAAGCGATGGCCCGGTCTAGGGGGATGAAGGCCCATACTTCGAAGTTGGCCTAGGTTGAGGCCTCGGCTCCCTTGTTGGGGACCGAAGGACGATGCACACTTTTCGCTGGATACATTACTTGACATGGCTAGGAGCCGGCCTCACTGGTATTTGTGTTATGAGTTTCTTTGTCTCTCCCGCTTAGCCTCCTCTTCCAATCACGATTCCTTTTGTTAGACATAATATAACTCCATTTTTGCGGCACGACAGCCGGTTATTAGCTCTCCGGAACGATGTCCATCGGTTACTGGGGACTCAGCCGGTGTGCCTGTTTCATCTTTTTCTTTTATATTGCGGCACAATAGCTGAGGTGTTTTCCACCTGCAGCTAACATGTTCAATGATGATGATCACCTTCGTCGTTATCGAAGCCATTGACATCTACGGAAAGTAGCAAGTAGGGAGTGAAAGCGTAGTACTAACACCGGTTAGCTGGACTACAACTCTGCAAGAGATTAAAACCATGAGCATTGCTAAACCGAAATCCAACACATCCTCTTCCGTTCTAAGGCGGTTTCTTGACCGATTAAGTCAGCTGGAAAAAGTCCTCAAGGACATTATGCTTCGTCCTAAACCCCAGACTTCTTCAAGCACCAATCCGCATCCTCGTGATCGGTGCTTGATTATTATCAACGCCACTGAGTCCAACAAGGATACTCCGACTGAGAAGATGCGGGATGACCAAGGGTTTCTAAGGCATAGGTCCTCCTTTTCGATGAAAGTGAACTGGGAAACAATATGTTATCTGCTTTTCGTCTCGGCGGGAAATTAGTAAATTCCAAGGTTCGTCTCCCCAAGGTTGTTTGACAAAACGACGGTGAATGTCACCGCGTTCTGAGCCGGATGCTGCGTTTTAAGGGAGAACCTTTCCGTGTACTGCGAGACCTCTCCCCAGAGGGGTAGATCCGAATGAAAACAGCTGTTACTGAGCTACGGACACACCAAACAAATGGATTGTGAATTTTCACGTGCTTCAAAAGGCACCGAGCGCTCGCTAGAGGCCACTATTTGTCTCTCCCTGGCGACTAGGTTAAAGAATGCTTTGTGTGGGATATTTGCTAATGAACGTCGCCTACGTAACGAACATCCATGACTCGGAGGTGTCTATTCCAGAGTATCTTCTATCTCGGGCTGATCCTTTTGGAGCGAGATCGGGTGTGATTCACTATTGGAAAGATCTCAGGGGTCATCTGGTGAAGCAATCTGTGTCAATCATAGTGGGTCTGAACTTTTTTGGTGCCGGATTCATGACGAATGCGGGTCTTTTGTGCGTGGCGTTGTCTACAAAGCCCCTTTGGATTCCGAAGCTAACTTGCTGGACTCTATTGAGAAACATTGTGGTAGCAAGGATTATCTGATTCTAGGAGACTGTAACGCCACTGATGTCGATTGGGATTTATTCTATTGTCATCTTCCGGTTTCTTTTGACGCTGTTTTACTGGAAACCACCCTCGCTTATAATCTATTACACTGTGCTACAGAGCCCACCAGGATATGTGCGGGTCATTCGCCACACATCCTCGACCTTGTGCTTACACCGGCACATTCTAATGCTTCTGACTTGACTGTTCTCCAGTCGCTACGTAGAAGCGATCATTGTGTAATTTCCTGGATGCAACGTCTTGTTATTCATGACCTAGGGGTGTGCCGTCGGAACTTCTGGTGAGTAGATATACATCGTTTGCAAACCGTTCTTGCTACTATGGATTGGAGTATCCCTCAGCATTTAGACCTTGACAATGCCTGGAGTCTTTTGTACTCCAGTTTGATTTTGAAATCTCTAAAAATCTCCGACTCACTCTAATCTACAAAGCAAATGAAGTTTGTCGCCTGATACATTTCTGACCATGTTATTAGTTTGATGGTGGAATGGCGAACCCATTGTCTTCCAGATGTTTTTGACCACAGTTGTTATATCGGATGTAGTTTCGAGTTGAGATTGAGACGTTCCTTCGTTTCAGTTCAGTTAAGTTGCACAACTATGACCCGAGCACCGAAATGCGGTGGAACTAGTTGCCACGACTCACATCGCAAGAGTAAAAACTAGAAATGTCAAGATAGTGGGGTTGGACAGAAATAGAATGTAAAGCAAGTAGAGGCAAGAAGGCGGTGCGTTAGACTAATCAGAATGAAATGAAATCTAACAACCAGATTCAAGAAACCGAATGCAGGTATGCCACTGACTACGTGATTGCCCTGTTTCCGGTACGGTCTCTAACCATTGGTGTGGACCATCCTGAGGCCCCCATCCATGATGACAGCATGAACCAGCTTGATCAAGCCTCTCAAACAATTTTTATGCCTCTATACCACGCCATAGACTGGCCACCTTGCGGTTTCGCCCAATTTGTTGCAGTCACGGCATATAATGTACGCCGAGGAGGTCGGTCAATGGACATGCTCTAGCCAGCGAGTTAGATACAGCAAACACTCGAGTGAGGCACCAGGTTTCTTGCCAAAAACCAACTGGCGGACTTCAGCATTTCTCACTCGGTGTTCCCGCCAGACGTGAGAAATTCTCTTCAAGTACCGAATGTCAAACACAGCCAGGCGCTTTATGTCCTGTCGCGAACTGACCAAGTGTCTAATCCGTACAGTAAGTGCGGCTTTACCGCAGCGTTATACACTTTACCTTTCACTGACAGGCTGACATTCTGCCATCTCCATGGATGGTTCAATCTCTAGAAAGCCATTAGGGTTTTGTTGATACGCAAATCAAATTCCTCAATGATGTGACCACCAGAGGTGACACAACTACTAAGATAAGTGAACTCATCCATCACTTCCAGTGGTTGTTTGGTGATAGAGCTGGTGTATCGGTCCAGTCCTGCAACAGTACTTTTCACCTTGAAGGCGCAAATCACATGCCGCAGCGTGCAGCGCTATGTGCCAGTTTATCCTGTCATGTTTGCCTAACCACTGCGTTAGACCCAAGAAGAGCTATGTCGTTTTTGTACTCTGGGTTTGCCAGTCCGTCGTCTGTCAAAACTTCCGCTCCGCTAATCTGAAAGAAACGAGTCATGTTATTTCGATCACAAAGTTGATGAGGAAAGGAAATATAGGACATTCTTCGCGAACCTCACTTGTCGTGGAGAACCCAGGTGACAGTTTCCCGTGGACCCTTACACGACCTCTGGAGCTACGATAGACTGCATAATGGAATGGAGTTTAGTCCACACGTCCTTCATGAATGGGCAGTGCCACAAGCTGGCTGTTCCCAATAGCACTGGCTTTCTCCATCTCACAGGTGCTTGCTATCCACCAACGTTCCCGGTCGATTCGTAAACTCTACAGGTGTCGTTTCAGCGAGTTACGGACATGCTGAAATTCAGTGCCCATCGGAACCTGTTTCCATGCTTCGATCAAGCTTGCCGATGCTCCAAATCCACAGTTGCGTCGTCTCAAGTTGGGTGCATAGCAGGCGTCAAAAGCGTTCTTAATGGTGCATTCAAGAAGATCCCACTCAGTGTTCGGCTCACCAACCTTAGTTCATCATGAGATCGGTGAACTGTGGACTGCGAGTTCAAGTTACAGGTAAGGTTAGAAGACAGCTGTTTCTTTGAAGCGGGAAGAGTGATCGCCAAATTGGCCGACAGTCTTGGTCTGATGTGCACCATTTGTAGCTGGTGGAAATATGGTCAATTTGGGTCCATGTCAATGAGGATTTTGGTGGGCGCTAGGTGACTCAGTGTGAAGTTTGTGTTAAAAAGCAGTGCTGCCAAGTTAAAGTTTGTGGTCGGCGCACAGTTGCAAGAATCGATCACCATTGTCTGTTCGGCATGCATCGACTCCGAAGCGACCTCTCAAGTGCTGTTCAAAGCCGCAAGATGACCCACTTGGGCATTCGTCACCAGCAGTAATCGCGATCACAGTATTCTTCGCCATGCGAAGATGAGAGCGATCGATAGAAATCATTTTTGATGCCCTCTGATCTGCATACAGTAACGTCCTAAACCGATGCGATAAAAAGATCTAGTCTTCAGACGCTGCTATTTAACTCTAATAGCGATTCCAAGTCCAACAGCACACATGCGGCTGTTCACCGGCATCCAGTTGAGCATATTTGCTCAGTGCGATAACAGCACGGTGAATACCTTGAACCATTGACTCAATATCGCCAGAAACTCGAGGAGTGTAGTCATTGTCGTCAGATTCAGAATCAGGAAGTCAAAGTTTTGTCACGACACTGTTATTATGTATTCGTGTTTCAGAGCCACAGCACACATCATTACCGAGAGAGTAGACAGTTAGTGCTACCTGCTCTCCGATCTGACCTAGATTGCGGACGTTAAAAGAACCAATGTGGCATGAAACACTAGGTTTGCTGGAAGAGCTACATGTATCGATGGCAGCAGCATCAAGGTCAGTGGCAGATTCTTGTTCAATAGGCGGGGAAGCAGAAAGTGAGGAGAGGAGGGAGAAACACAAGAAGAAGGAGTATTGCCAACGTGCTCGAGAGGACAGATGATATCCTCCGGCTGCCCATTCCGAGAGAGGAGTTTTGTTTCTGACGCCCCACCTCTAGCCGTTGACTCATCAGTCTGATCCACAGGACATTAGGGTGCATGGAGATTTGCTTGAGGGCTGCACTCGGAGCTTTTGGATCAGTAGCCTGACCCACAAGGTAGTGGGGAGGTAGTCCAACTCGAGAGGGTGATTGCCGAGACCCATTGGGATGTGCTTGAGGCCTGTCACATACAGTCTTTTAAGCTTTAGAACAACGCACCTGTGTTTTACGACCGTATTAAGTTATGCGGCAACCACTCCCAGCCGCAGGAGTTGGCGGGTTTGCACCAATTTGACCGGGGGCTGCTTGGCTTGAGGCAGGCGGTGGCAAACCATTGAGCACCGGAAGGCGATCGTGCTATACGCTAATCTAGCTTTGAGCTTATAACCCGTAGATCTGTTGTCTCATGACTAGGATTTAAAAGAAGAAGGCCATCGACCTCCCCTAACCTCCGAAGAGGATTAGCTTGTTAGTCTGATCCTTAAGCATTGGCCTGTCTGGTATTAGTGGCTTTGAAGTCACTTGCAAAATGCCACCTAGCATAGCTCAATGGTTCACGGAAGTACGCCAGCCATCTCACCACGTTAATGTCAAATCTCGTTGTGATTGGTTCTTTCATCTATTCTGCTAGATACGTACTTGCGGTGGCATAAGATTAGAATCAGTTGCTGCAGGTCCTATGTGATCAATTGCTTGATCGGCGTCTTTGGCTAGGCGTCCTGTCACGATTCATTGTTCTGGGTTGACTTACTTTGTAACCGCTTCGTTTGCACGCTGAGTATATTTGCTCCTTATAGAGACCGAACCTTACGAAATGCCATTTATCGCGCTTTCGGCACTCGGACAGTTGTTTCTACAACATAGGAGCTGCTGTTCCGGAGGGTTGTTTGAAGCACGTCTTTGTGACATTTAAAGTGGAGTTGGATGATGCACGTTCCAGCATGGCTGTATCGTGCATGAGGTTTAGATGACGTTGACACTCGTGGGTAACTTGCTGTAGTGTAATGTCAGGAGACAGCTGAATCCTGTTCAGCACTTTGGTCCTGATATCAGTGTCGAAATGTGACTGGTCGCAAATTAAAATTTGACACTTTTACTTGTCTTCAGCTATGGTAAACAATTTGGATTGTTTACACATAGAATTGACTCTGCCAGCATAGGTGATGAAAATCTTGTCTTCCTGCTTGATCAGTTTCACGCATTAATAGCGAGTGTTAAACAAGGAAGAGCACTCATCGATAACTTTTTGACAGTAGGTGGACAATTTCCTCAAAATTAAGATTCTCGATGTTCTTTGGCGGAATAGAATTCGCATATTGCATATGTTCGTTGGTACCTGGATTTCTCAGCACCGACGTCATCCTTGTGCTTCAATTCGATTTTGGAAATGTTCTCATATCGTTTGAACCATGATTCAGAAATCAGACCAGTATCAGATTACTAAGGAAACTTCTTGATGCTGCCAGCAATTGTTTCGACTGCATTTCCATCCGGAACTGGAACTGATGAGTTAATACTAAATCGCTTTATCAAGTTTTCTATTAGTCGCATCTGGGCTGTTTCGAACTGTGTTACTGGTGCAGCATTCCTTTCAAAGCCTCTGCGGTTATTGACACTTGCGTGGGTTTCTGTTTCCAGATATGTTGTCTTACTGCTAGAGGAGCCCAACTAATCCGCCATCGAAGAATACAGCAAGTGCTACACATAAGGAGTTATATTCTCAATGCAATCGTCTAACACAGGCAGCCTTATATTTAGCAATCAAGGCTCAATTCCCGCGCGTACGCAACTCCCCAGGCTTCTTGAACTCACATCATAGTCTCGTTCCCAGGGTCCGATGACTAATTACCGGCCCATCTCAAGTCACAGTCACTTGACATAGGGGTGACGCGCAGCCGTCCGTCGACTACCTGGGGCCTCGTATCAGCATCACATACCTTTTGATAACGTCCCAGAAAACGGACCTTTCTATCAGAACTCGGTGTCATTTGTTGAACAAATGCTACCTACGAACTGCCTCCTGTCGTTGCTTAAGATAGTATTGAATCCTTGGAAACAAGTTATGGCACGTTAGCTGACAATCACTTTGGTGTCCACACATATTTCCAATTCGGTGGACAATATCTCCTAAAAATTGACAGTTGCATGCCTGCTCTCGCAGGCATCTGTGAATTACAACTTCATTTATTCACGAAGCCTTAAGGTACAACGCGATGAGTGACTACTGTTCAACCATGTTGATGTGGAAATGTTGTGGCGGAAGAGGTCGATTGACAACTTGAATCCTGTGAATTTCAGTTTTATCTGTAAACCCACTCCGCTATCGTTTACAGTTCATTAAAGTGAATTTCTCTTCTACAGTAGCCACTCTGTCTAAGTGAAAACGACTGAGTGATTATGTTGTTTGTCTGTTTTCGAACTAGTCTCTCTGTCTGTGATGCTCTGTGTAACTTGGACCCCTCTTTTCTCCGTCTAGGTTTGACTTCTGTCCGGCACACAGTAATGACTATCCCGCTGAGAACCTGGGTCAGGTTGTTTTTGGAGAGCGTTTGATGCCATCAGGTTACCAGGTGAACGATATCCCTTTCATCCCACTTTATGCTTTATTCTGCCTTGCATTTCTTGTGTCCTCTAGATTGGATATTTTCGAAATAGCACCTTTCGACCTTAGTCTGTTTGCAGTCTCCGTTAATGGCGTTGTCTGTCACTGTGACCCCGAGTAGCTTCAAGGTATATGCGTCTTTCGTACGGTCATAAGTGACCTGTTGTGACCACTCCATTTTCGTAGTTCACAGGCATTTCATCATCGTATGATCAACTGTGACTAAGGTAATCCTATCCGATAGGTTGTAGTTATAATTCGCATCACCAGGGTATTCGCTCACTTTTTGATATACTGTGGTTATGGTATGATCGCCACTGGTTGTCATTCGCTTGCATAAAAATCGGAGAAAACCTACGCAACACACTACCACAATGCGGTGGCCGAGTCATAGTTTGGTACAAGGTAGGTGTATCCATTGATATTGCATTGTCAGAAACCTGTTTGTCCAATTTCTATCAGCCATGAATGGCCGCCTAACATCAGTAATCGTGGTGACTGCATACACCAGTTGACACCAATTCATCATTAGAAGTTGCTGCGAAGGCATCTCTTTTCGGTAATTATCCTCAGCCACAGTTATCAGGAAAATTGATACAACACGATGAGCTATCTAAAGATGCAGTAGTGAATAGCTAGATCACACTTTAACGGAAGGTCAGTGAGACAGTCAGTCGAATGGTCAACGCAATCAGGTGGTAAAGGTCACACGCTTTAACACCTCAAACGCTGAAAGACAAATATAACAAGAAAGCACTGTTTGGTTTGACGTCACACTTAGTCTTGGGCAAAGGTAGGTACGTATGGCGTCAATCATTCCGGCCAAGGCAGCGTGAGCGCTCGTACAAGCGTCCTCTGCTTGCATAACTCCGGTTGCAGCAGCCTGATAGCCATTGCTTCTGAAGTAGCCAACATGCACTTCCTAAGTCCTTTTGGGTTGCGTTTAGACACGGCGTAAAGAACTTTGAAAGCGTACTCGGTCCGAACATAATGCCCCGTACCAATCAGATGTTCAAGGACAGAGCTGTTGGGCCTTGCTAACTGTACCGTACCGTAAAGTGGCGGGACAGTGTTCGCTATCCTTTTAGACAGACGCCTTGTCATGTGTCCGAGGTATCTGGCACCAACAGGTGCAGGTGAACTACTATACAACGAAGGATTCGGAACAAGCTGCGAGTCTGTCTTCGAGGTTTTTAATGATAAGCGGAACAGTCTCAGCAAGAATGTGGACTCTTGCAGCCGGATATGTTAGTTTCACAGCAAGGGACAATCTTTTGTTCAGTAACTCGTAGGTGATCTCTCCTTCAGAGGGAACCGAAATGAAGACGTCCCTTTTCTTTACCGTTGGTATTTCTTTAGGTTGATCAGAAACAGCAGAATGTTTGTGGATAAATGTCGTCGGATAATCATTGTTTTATAGTGTTATGAGAATGACCTCAACATCCAACGTTTCTTGGTTGCAAATTTTTGCAGCGCGATGGTAAAGACAGCGCACAAGGTTTCTCTCGTATTTCCTGGGCACAAAACTAAGGAAATGCATGTACTGGCCCATTCACATAGACCTGCGAAATACTCTCCTCTCAAGCAATCCGTCAGCTGGCCGCCGCAATAACACCTCCAAAAATGAGATGTTACCGTCCTCTATTTCACTAGGGAATTTTAACGACGGATCGACACGGTTGAAGTAGTCAACTGGGTGAGGGTGTTTCCTGGATAGAAACTGTTAACTTCATTTGCGAACACCTGACCTAAAGCAACATTGACATCGGTAGTACGGTCCATCGAGGATACCCACCATGTGGGACAACGAACCCTCAACCACGCGAGTTCACAGCCCGATAATCTTAACGGGGCATTAGCTGTCGTACGCAACCTCGGTGTATGTACACAACGATGGTCACGTTGTTTCTATGCTCCCTGTACATGTCTTTATCCCTGCAGTTATTTGTGGTTGACAACGACACATAAATGAAACGCTTGGGCCTCACCTGACGGGGAATTTTATGCTTGTGTGAGGATGACGCATTAACTAAACTGCGCCAACATTCACATCAAGAATATTATCTAGTATTCACACCGCTTGTTAATTCAAATAAATGCTGCTCTACGATCAGATTCCCAGTGACAGGTGAAATGAACAATACCTTTCATTTCCTTGATGTGTACTTGAAGAGGAGTCCAGAAAGCACACTCACTCGATCGGTGTATCGGAAGTTCACTTGGACAGGACAATATGTCAACTTCAATAATTTTTTGTCCTATATGCTACAAACGAGTATTGTTCCGCCCCGCCTTCGCTAGAGCTCGCAGAATTCGTTCTGAGGATTCGATCGGTAGTGTTCTGGATCGCGCGTCATCAATACTACAGGAATATGGAAACCCCGTGAGATTCATAGCCCGGTGTGCAAGTGCGGAGGACAGTGAGAAGTGTTTGATAGATGTCCCCAAGAAAAAGTGTTCGTTACACTACCGTTTAAGGAAGTCATAGTGATAGGAGATTCCGACACCGCCTCCACCGACCCATAAGGAAATGCTATCACGCGGCCTAATTGGTGTTATTGCACCAAATTAGGAAGTTACTCTGTAAATCCAACCTGGACGAGCCACATTTTTATGTTACCGTCTCTTATGTTTACTTTTCCCTCTGTGCTTGTGGTAGCAGTTACTTTGGCCGAATTGTGAGGAGACTGTCCACTAGGATTGCAGAGCACATTCCACTAAATATGATCGCCGAAAGGTCTCAAACTGCCGTATTTTCCAGTAAACCGGTGGCTGTTCCGGTACAGGTTGTGACAGTCTTACAGCTTACAATGTGATGCAGTCGAAGTGTTTCAGCTACTCGTCAACCTCGATGGTGCGAAGCCCCCCGGACCAGACGGACTTCACTCACTAACACTCAAGTCCCTATCGAATGTCATCTCACCAGCCGTGACAAACCTATTTAATAAATCACTATTTGAAGGATCTGTTCCCATCGACTGGAAATGCTCGATAGTGAGACCGCTTCCAAAGGGTGGTAATCCGAGTAAAGTAGAGAACTATAGACCGATTTGTTTGACTTCGATCTTATCCAAACTTCTCGAGAAGGTTGTGAAAGAGTGTCTGCTGTCTTTACTCGAATCGATGGACGTATTGACGCCAGCGCAACACGGCTTTACGAAAGGGCGATCCTGCATCACCAACTTGATGCACGCAAACCACCAGTGGGTACGAGCTCTCAACGAACGGAAGGATGTTGACGTGGTGTACAGACTTTAGTAAGGTGTTTGGCAGAGTGAACCATGAGATACTCCTTCGTAAACTGAGGACCTACGGAATCGGTGGCACGCTACTTCAGAGGTTACACGAGTTTATTGTGAAACGAAAGTTTAGAGTACAGGTCAATGACTACCTCACAGACTGGTTCCCATGGACCAGTGGCGTAACTCAAAGCACTGTACTTGGGCCAGCATTATTTATTCATGTCAACGATCTCCCGCAGCAGCTCCAGTCACCATGTGCCCATTTTGCAGATGGTTTGAAAATCTGGAGGACCATCGAGAACCAGGACGGCTGCTCTCACTTCCAGCATGACTTAGATTGACTGTCAACATGGTCCACTGAGACGCAAGTCCCTCTTAACGCAAGCAAGTTGGAGTTCATCAGTATCACCAGACGTCCAGCCAATTGATAAAACGCCTTAAACGACTAGTTGCTCCACCCTAACACATCTGTCAGAGACTTAGGAGTGCTCTCGCGACATGATATGAGATCACTAGAAAATACAGAGAAATTGTGCTGTGCGGGACTTCGTATGCTCTGGGCATTACGACGCAGTTTCTCCACATGGTCCGAAGAAACTGTCCCTCGGGCGGGCAACACCCAATTTCTATTTGCATCAGCTATGGTCCTCGTGATCGAAAGACCAGGGTTCACTTCAATGGGAATCTCAGTCAGCATTGAGATTGCATGTCGCAATCCATCCACACAACATGTACAAAATGACGCTCAACGTTCCTCGCCTATTCATTTCGTTCATTAGACCAATCCTTGATTACGGCGCCCCAGCTTACCATCCGATAACCCAAGGGGAAACTGAAAATCTGGAGAAAATACAGCGTATCACAACTAGAATGATACCTAGTCTACGGAAGCTTCCGTATGAAAAACCTTGTGAAGGGCTCGGACTCTGAACACTATCCTATCGCCGATTAAGAATTGACCTTACTATGACCCATCGAGTACTACACTTGAATCACTTCCCCATACTGCGGCTAGTATTTCACCTGCGGGAACCCTGTAACACCCGTTGACACCGTTCCAAACCCAGAGTTCCCTACATGAACAAGGTATCACATCGGCTTTGTATAGAACGAAGAATCGTAAACTCATGGAATACATTACCAGAAGGCCGATTCTGTGAAGTGTTTTAAAACAGGTATCGACGATTATTTCGGAAGCCTGTGCTTTGTGAAACCGTGCACATACAACGGAAAAATACATCCTATACCCGGAAATAATGACACCAATACGAATTCCTAACCCAACAAGCATGAACGATTAACTGCCCAAACACTACCACTGACGATTCGCAGTTAAATGTGTTTGATTTTTCATAGTTTGTTAGGGTTGTACAGAAACCTTTCTACTTGCTCTTAAATAGTCTCAGTCTCTATTGTACAGATCCTCCTGAACTGCACTACATGTCGAAGTCCTCGTGGTTCGTTCAAAGTAATTAACAGACAGAGCAATGTCCGTCTGATTCAGTTTGCCGAGGCTTCACCTATTCGGGGTTGAAGCGCAGTTTGTGCGAACAGACTGAACATACGGCCATTTGCCTTAGTTCGATGAGGTTATTGCTCGTTTTTCTTTGACCTGAGTGGTCTTGCACGTTGCTTCCCTTTGAACCCAACGCGATGCTTTCACGAAATGTATGTAAACAGCTGACGAAAATACTCGATGTACCGGAATTCAGCGTATCCTGTCACAATGCTTTTTCTTGTAATTTGTGAACGAAAAAATCCTATATGAAGTTCGACTTTCGTTGATGGTCAGTCTTACCTTGACCATCATCGAAGCGAGAGCCATCTTCATACGCTGTAACTCACCCTCGCTACGTTCAGTCTACGGCAAACAACATCATGCGGATGGATATCTCATGCGCTCAGATTCACTCCCCGAAACGTTGGATGCCCAACAACTTACCATCTATACAGTGCTCGAGATAGGCACTGCAATGACGGGTAAGAGAAGTTAGGTAGATAACAAACAGGGCAGGAGCTAAAACACAACGTTGCTTCATATCATACCATATCTGAAGTTTGTCCACACAGCTGCACCCTCTGCCGCATACCACTGTTTAGGCATTTAATAAGATTAACTTACCCAACACCAGCCACAGTGCCTCGCAGTTCACCGTCAAATGCATTGGCGAAGTCTGAACTGTGAGTACAATGGTTAGTTTCGCTCACCCGGTACTTTTGCTAATATTCACCAGTTGTGACACCGGCGCGCCAGCATGTTTGTCGATGACCGAAAGGATGCGCCTTCCTTGTAACCGAAGGGTCACTGTTTCGGTTCTATGTAGTTACGTTCGACAACCGGTGCCCCCACAGTTTGGCTCATGTCTAGTGGGAACACCGTGTGAGCAATGAGCGTGTTCAGCGCCTTGTTTATGACACAGGAAGAGGACCTGAACCTCTCCGCATCGTTATTTCACGCACCAGGCTCCGATAGCTGGGCCACGTGTTGCGCATGCCAGTCCACCGACTCCCGCAAACTGCGTTGTTTGCGCGCCGAGGTTTTGGATGGTAGAAGAAGTGCGGTTCTCAAGTGATGACTTGGTCGAGAGCAATGAAGGCCCTTACTTCAGCGTTGGCCTCGGTTGAAGTCTCTCGGCTCTCTGGTTGGGGTCCGAAAGATGATGAACGCGTTTGGGATGTGGGTTTTAGCCTCCCCCCTCCAACTGCGATCTCGTTTCTTAGCATAATACAAATTTTGCTTAATAAATTTTTTTTAGCTGCATACTCCTTGGCCGGTAGCTTACCGGACCAAGGCCCATCCGTTACTGGTGGCTCAGTTAACGTGCACCTGTTGTGTTCTTTCTTCTTTTCTTTTAAGTATTGCGGCACAGTAGCTGCGGTATTTTCCACCTCTAGCTAACGTGTATAATTATGCTGATGATGTAGTTGTGGGCGAGCTCGCACTACCTCCAGTCCGCACATGACGAAGTGGTCGCAAAGCAATTAGCATGTCAGCACGACGTACCGACATTACTACTTATGTCTTGTTATTCTGAATTCTGAAGTCGTTTGAGGTTCTCTGGGAAACTCCCCTGACTTCACCATGACGAGATTTCGATGCGCATCTTGAGAACACGCCTCGCTTTTTCTAGGCTGAGGCACTTGTGGTGTCGCCACGACATTCGTCTCTTCATCAAAGGACGGGTTTATTGTGCAACTGTTCGTGCTGTATTGTACAGATGCGAGACCTGACCCATTCGTAAAGATGACTTGCGCAGGCTATCCATCTTGGATCACCGCTCTCTGCGGTCCATTGGCCGCGTGTGGTGGCGGCACCACGTAAGCAATGTAGGAGTTAGACAGCGTGTCTCGCCACGTAGAAGCCACTCGCTCGAGGAGCTCGTCTCACAGCATCAAATGCGGTGGTTGGGACACGTATTGCGCATGTCTGTCCAGCGTTACCCGTGTCGTGCGTTATTTGCGGTTGCTGGACAGGGCTGGAGGAGACGGTCTGGTAGACAGCCTGCAACTTGGGGAAGCCGCATGAAAAAGCTGACGAAACAGTCGGCCTCGGCAGGTTGTTGTCGACTACCTGATTGGGGTCCGAGAGATGCGGATGCTTGCTGCTTGAAGACCTTGGAAGTTATGGCTCAAGATCGATGCCAATAGTGAACGTGTGCATCGGTGTGTTGTGGTGTCCCTCCTTCCTTCTCCTAAAAAACAAACTGAAAATCTTCAAAAACTGTAAGTGGTAAACTGGACAAAAAAGCTTTTGTTGTTGTTCTTCTTTTCTTATTATTCATGCTATTTTCCTATTCAGCCATGATTCCGATTACATAATATCTATACCACAGATTGTGTATTATGTGTATATATAGGCTGAGAAATACATCCAATATTCTGTTTTTGCTCCCGTTGCCTACAAACGCGGCCTTGTGGGAACTGTTCTACAGAGCAATGCGCCTTTGTAACTCTGAGACACTAAAAGCCGAAGAGGTGTTCATACACAGGACTCTGCTGTCTAATGCGTATCCCGAGAAGTTTATCGAGATCCACAGCAGACCATCCAAAGTGAAGCCACCGGTGCACACGGTAAAGAAATATAATGTTTATTTTCTCTTGCCGTTCATATGACATAAGGCACAAGCTCAGGTCTGCCTTAAATCGCACTTACGCAGCTGCCCATTTGCGACTCCTACACACCACACGAAGGCTGGTGCTTTATCAGCATCCGAGCAGTCTGTCAGACAGCCTGACCTCTCACGTTATTTACCAGTTCACTTGCATCTGCAGTGACGTTTACCTTGGCAGGACTGATCGTCGACTGGCTTAAAGGGTTGCTGAACACCTCTCAATTTAGCTAAGACACTCCAGGTCGCAACAAGGCGGAGTGGATCAGGTGGCAAGCGAAATCCAACTTCGTCCATCGCAAAACATCTCGTGACCACGGGTCACATGTGGATACATCGTGCGCTTTTAAAATACGCCTGCGTGATAGTAATCCGAAAAGGCTGGCAATCAGCGCAGCGCTGTTGATCACGAAGAATGGTCCAGTAAATGCGCACAAAAGAGATTGAAGTAGTCAGTTAGATTGCCGTGGTCCTGACTATCCTACTGATTTTCGTTCATGAACGTTTGTTACACTATTGTACTTTTGTATACTTGAACGTGTTGCATCCGCAACTGACGAGAGTAATCGAAATGTTAGCATATCACGATATTTGTCTTTCCGCGTTGATGAAATGTCCTTCAGTGGGACCTTCCTACTTTTCTGTTTCTGTTCGTTTGTATGGTAGACTCTGCAACGGATTGTTCCCTTGCGAAGTCTCACAATGCAGCTAATGTAGTCTTATCTGGGGAAGGCTTGACAGTTCCGATTCCGCTTGCGATGTCCTCTCGCTGTTACGCAATCATGAGACACCACGGTCAACCATCGATAGAATCAGAAGAGGTCTTGCCTTGTGGCACATTCAAAGTGCTAGCTACCATCGCAATACCGCCATCCACTTATTGTCTAACAATTGGTCGAATTGGCAGCTAAAGTTGCACCCCAGTAGCCTACCAGCCCACGTGCAACAGTTCGCAGTTGTATTTTAATCATACATCAGTACACAGTACTGCCGTACTGTTTACCACCGGTCCGGTTCAACTACCAGAATTCACAGGTTTTGACTGCAAGCTCTCCGGACCCACTGTTAGTTCATCGCTCCCCACTGGATTCGAAAATCAAAGGATTTGATCTTCATCTCCAACCATTCCAACAGTGTCACAGCCTAGGTTACACAAGTTTTAGCTTTTTTATCTTACAAGTGATCACAACTCTCCCGCTGTTACCTACGACTCTATTAGTTAACGTGTTGCCGTCTATTTTTTAATCTTAACTATCAGCTTCTTTTCTTTTTAGTTCAATTTTCTCAAGAAAGAAACCTGCAAACTGCTATGTAGTAAAACATACACGTCCTCATCGGATACTCGTTACCACTTTCTCCGGAGTGCAGCAATTCTACAGTACTCTCACCATTGGTAATTTCAATACTTGTTACGTCGTATCACTCTCTGAACCCACAAAAAATACTGCTCTGCACTATGTCCCCTCAGTTACTTTTCTACTGTTCGCCATTCCGGATGCATACACTTTACAACTCACACAAAACACTCATTTGACTCGACTAAGTTCAGTCACTTGTTATCTAATTTTTCTGGCCAACCCGGCAATATTCGTACGACTCATCACCCGCAGCGAGTTACGTGACTCTACTATTTCCACTTCTCTGAACCATGCGCATGCCAACTCCAGGCCAGCAGAAAGTGAAGACACGACTCAACTGCGGCTCCGTGTGACTTTGAGCGCAGACGCTTCATGCCCTGAGATTTTTGAATTTAAAGCCGGTACTTTGCTTTGCTCTTTTGCATCTAGAAGTAGGCACGATTGTCATCTTTATCGTTGCACTAGGGCACCTCACACAAGCGGCTCGACTGTCCACATGCCCATATATATATATATATATATATATATATATATATATATATATATATATATATGCAGAGAAGAAGCGGCAAGTGCGGAAGCGGCAAGCACCGATGAATTGTACTCCATCGACATCGAGCGCATGGTGCTGTAGAACATGCGGTCGCGAGTGCCTTAGTCAGGCAGGCCTAGTGAGCCATGAGAGCGGTCACTCGGGACCACTGCCGAAGCGACGACGGGTCCCGCAGTGAACGTAGGCAGCACCGGCGCAGCGTTTGTAGGCACGCGGAATTCGATTAACTAACCGCATGCTTGCATGCTAAGTCTCTTTATTTCAGGTGGTGGGTTTTCGTTTCTCTCCTAATGCCTTTCTTTCTCATATAAATGTCTAGTGGGCCATGAGCTGTGCCATTTGGGGCCACTACAGAAGCGACGACAGGTCCTGCAGAGAATTACGGCGAGCCGGCACCGCGTTTGTAGGCACGCTGAATTCGATTTACTAACCGCGTGCTTGCATGCTAAGTCTCTTTATTTCAGGTGGTGGGTTTACAGCTTTTACCTTAATGCTTTTCTTTCTCATATAAATATCTCCCTCTATTCCATTAACTTGCACACATCGCCTAAGCCAATTGTATTCGATTTCCATAACATTTTTGCGTTCGTGGCATTCCGTGAACTATACTTTCTGACCTCGTGCACTTAGCTAGGATTTGTTTGTAATCAACTTATTACATATGCTATTTAATTAAGGTTTATATCACCGTTTCCTTATGCATTAATCGAGTTTTTCTCTTTTTCTTTCTCTCTCTCTCAAGTGTTTGGCTGTTGTTTGATGTCCTCGATGTGGATGCGCTTGATGTGCATGTTGACAAGGTGCCTACCTGTCTATTACCCACTACCTCGTCCATACTGGCTCCAGGAGACAGTTGGTCGTTGCTGGAGGGGACAGGGTGCACGGTCCTTGTGGCCGTGTTAGGCTCGAAGAGTGGTTCCATGCACTCAGTGTGGAGCGGACTACGGTCCAGCCACCGCCTTGTGTGCGCTTGATTCCCCAAATACAGTGTGCTTGTGTTTGCCTGTGAAGGAGTGTGGGCCGGCTCCGTTGGTGAAACGTGGTTCCCATCCGCATGCCTCCCGGTCTTATTCCTTCGGTTTTACACTGGATATGGGATGTGTGGTTGGAGCTGTGGGTGGTGCAGCGCAAGCCATCCATGGTCCCTCTGTAGGCGCAGGCGTCCTGTGGCTTGCCACAGTGACAGGCAAATCCGAAACCGGATGCCGCCAACCATATATGGGATGTTTAGAGATATTTTCCCATCTAAGATTACTTGCCTTCTTGCTTTTCACGGGAATCCCATTTGATTAGTATCTGCTATTTTTTTTAATTTCAGGGTTGTGGATAACCTTCCCGTCACTGTGTGCTTGACGAGTAATGGAACGAAGCGCTACTGCTCTGTTTCAATTCCACTGGGCTGCTTTGGCGAATCGCGGGACTTGTTTGGCACTTTGTGTAGCGTTGTTGTAAGTAGTTCCCCTCATGATTGTCGTTTACCCTGCCCCACCATGCTCCCATTCTGTATCCGGATAAATCTCCTGATTTTCACTAAACATGCTTTGTATGGTGTGATCAGGGAGTTACAAGCACTTGCAGGCAGACTGATTACCGTCCAATCGCTAATTATGTCAAATATTGGAATGAATCAAGGGAAGCAGAATCTGAGTAAAGGATTCTTTTCGGTAATTCTCCTCAGACTCAAACATTACATGATGAGAAGAAAGTGCTAAATATGCCGGATTGGGCTGCGTATTGAACAAAATGTTTAATTTCACGGGAACAACTCTATAAATCACGGGGTCATTGGAAGTGGCCAGTATGTACAGGGGAAATCACAGCCGAAGTTGTAGGCCACGGTAAAAGTAATGGACGTACAAACTGTTTTTGTACGCACAATTCTGGCTTGAGGTGGCGGATGTAGATAGCTTCCGCAATAGACAGAAGATGCTTCCGGAATCCGCGCGTGAAACGTTCAGGAACAGTATAGATGACTTTAAAATCTTTTTCCGTCCCTGTGTGACTGCACTCTAGAAGGTGAGACATGATGGAACTGTGACTGGACCTCGCTTCGCCTTTGTAAAACCAAACATTTGAAAGAACGCAAGATAAAACCACCGAGGATGAACGTACCCAAGAAAGAACTAATGGTGCATCTTTTTTTCAAAAGCGACAGTGCGGCTGACGCCCTGTCCAAACGCCTGAAAGACGCTGTTGAAAAGACCTATTTCGCGGCTCGCCTACGCATAGTATTTTACAACAAGCCTTTATTCGCAAAACCTTTGAAAGACAGGCTGCCTCCGGTGACTCGATCAATGCTTGTTTATCTTTACTCATGCTCCTGTGTTGCACGATACGTCGTTCATACCACGAGGCCTCTATCTCATAGGATCCGCGAACACATCCCAATGTGATTTTACAGAAACGAAGCGAGGTCCAATAACAGTTCCATCTTATCTCACCTTCTAGAGTGCAGTCACGCAGGGACGGAAAATGATTTTAGAGTCATCTACACTGTTCCTGAACGTTTCACGCGCGGATTCCGGAAGCATCTTCTGTCTATTGCGGAAGCTATCTACATCCGCCACCTCAAGCCAGAATTGTGCGTACAAAAACAGTTTGTACGTCCTTTACTTTTACCGTGGCCTACAACTTCGGCTGTGATTTCCCCTGTACATACTTGTCACGTCCAATGGCCCCGTGATTTATTGATATGTTCCTGTTGAAATTAAATATTTTGTTCAATACGCAGCCCAATCCGGCATATTTAGCACTTTCTCGTCATCATGTAATGTTTGAGTCTGATGAGAATTACCGAAAAGAATTCTTTACTCAGATTCTGCCTCCCTTGATTCATGCTAATAACTGGGAATTTTTGGATTGCTGAGGATCAGCATTCCTCGTGATTCAGTTCAATATTGGAGCTGATACATAGATTGCGAGGGAAATTTCAACTCGGACTAGAATTGCATGAGCAATAGGGAGCAATAAACGTAATTTGACTGCAGCTTATAACGTCGCTGTAGTTGGGGGTGCTTCGCCAATTGCAATTGAATTGCCATTTGAATCTTTAAAAAATGACCGAGAGTTGCTTCCATAATTGTTCGCTCATCTTAAAAGGACTGCGTCATATGGACCTCATCCAGACCACATCTAGCCTGCCAAGACAGATTGCCTCACAAGCATCACATTGTTTTACCGCTCCGCACCGTCCTTTTGCGGTCCTCTTTGGTCTACTCAAAGTCGATCGCGTTTGTACCACTTCCCATCTAGATTGCTTCATTTTCAAATCACTGCCGCCCATTAGTGCTTGTTGTCATGTGTGCACATGATAACTGAGGGGCTCACTATGACCTAGACAACGCTTCCTTAGACACGAATGACGTTACGCTCGGTATCTCGTTTGGCATTGAGACATTGTCTGCTCAACACGATGAATCACCTTGCTTTCTGAACCAGTCTAGCATCATTTAAGGGCTTAGTTTTCCCAAGACGGTCAATCAGCTAAATTCACGCGAATGGCAACAATTAGTAGAATGACTTCACTGCGCAAGTCGGATTCCTTTGTGGCTCTCATGTCGCATGACGGCTCACCTCTCTGCCGGTTAAGCCTTCTCAAGTTATTGAGTCGTGGTCATTTCACCTACTTATCTTCGTCATATAGCATTCGCCTATTTTCACTCCTCTGTTTTGATCGTTTTATCCAAATACATCGTTTGCGCACAACTCAACAGCTTCTCGTCTTATGATCTCAGGTGTCTTTGGGCGCAGCATTAACATTTCACATGCCAATCTTCATAGTAACCTTTCTTGATTTAGAAGCGACCTTTGCTTCCACTCATCGCTCCTGCGTGTGGTTTGTTGTACCTGAGATGTTTTTTCCCTCTGCTGAACTCTGTATTATAACTCGTGTAGCCGTGTAATGTGCTACAAGCAAATCCCCTCCGAATTCTCCTCAACAACTGGTGCGCATTTGAGCCGTCCTATTACACCATTTATTTTCAAGTTCCTGGTCGAAATGATCATCAACGGATATCTGTTACCACTTTTTATGTTTCAATATTTTAGTCGACAGCCGAACGTCAGGCGTTGAATATACGAGTGACACTGAACAGACTGACGCGTAGCATTGCACACTTTGGCATGTGCTTAGCACTTTCAACTCGCTAGGTAGTTTTACCAACCTAGCTAACTCACTACCAATTCCTTTCATTATCGATCAAATTTATTGATCGGCTTATTTAACTATCATTTCCAGCGTGCATATCGCTGAATCTGCTGCGACACACGTTACTAAGGCTGCTGTGGTTTTTCGAGGACTCGATCACTTGTGGAAATGATAGTATGTGAGCGTAATCGCAGATCAACGATCTGGCCATCCTACGCAAAGGGCCTTGGGAGTCTGACCGTGTTCCACCACCGACGTGTGCACAGCCTTGCTCATCTATTGTCTGAGTACCGAGTGATCAACACTGAATTTGATCGTTTGTTGTCTGGCTCATTTGCTGTTAAACTCGAGTCGCCCTCCGGGACCCGATCGTGAGCTCCGCATCCTTTCAAGTCACCTACGTCGGCATGAGTTTTTCGCGCGCACTGCGCTTAATTGGATGAGACCCATCCGTTGTTAGTCTCTGAGATGGTAAACAATCACGAAGGAGATCGAGGAAGACTGAGTTGGGTTGTCTTCTGTCGCCTTCTGCCTACGAGGGAACTCTAGAGCGTTTGGATGGTATCGAAGTACTAAAGACTATGGGCTGCTCACTGGTACATGAGACTGGATATCCACCAAGTGGCGAACTTGTTTCTAACTCATTGATCCTACCAAAAGTGCACTATTTGGACCGTTGCCAAGTTGTCCTGTTGACCGTATCAACTCGACCTGACCTCATCGTAATGATAATGGTGAGCGGTTGCTTCACCTGTGTGAAGATCCTCGTCTGTTTGAAATGTTTCGTAACACTGGTAGCTCTGGTTTGGCGATTCAGTTGTTCATTTGGTCGCGGAGTTTGGCACTTTTGCTGCACTAGCGATGCCACCTCGCATGGTGGCACAACGTACGCAATCAAATTGCCAAGCTCAGGGAACATTTGAATACTTGTTTATTTCTCGGGAGCACCAACTTCCAACACGGCATCTCCAGAAGGGTGACATGGCGCTCCCCAGCCATGGGCGCAGCTTGATGATATCGCGACCAGTTACTGTTGTAGAAGATGTATCCAAAACGGTTGCTCAATTTGGAGCACGAGCGTGGATTCCGATCACACACTCCTTATGTGCCGATCTCCGAGTTCGGCTCCGCGGACGCATGTGGCGACGCTGCGAGCGCATAGACATCCACCAACTGGCGAAGCCAAGCGTTCAGTATGTATATCGACTGCGCCGGCATACGAGTTGGGTAAGTGCTCACTGAACAGTGTCGAAGGTTAGTGGTCGCGTATCCGTCAGACGTTATTAACAATAGGCATGTCTTTATGTGGCGTATCTGGTTATAAACCTGCGCAGTTTCTATAATTTCTGAATGTTCGCCGACACCTTCCGGCTGGAAGCGAATACACGGAGGTTCCCAAAGGCCTCAGGGTAAAACTGCGTATACCATAAATATGTAAATATTATCAGAGTGAAGGCTTATGGCAAACTGTCACCTTTCTTCAATATATCCACCGTCTGAGAAAGTTGCCCATTGTCACCGTTTTTTTTACTTTTTCATCGACGAAGTCATGGAGACTGCGCTCAAGGCATGGAGCTGCTTCCAGGGAATCTGCTTCTTGACTTGGAGTACGTCAACGACATTTACCCTATCTTTGACAGCTCCAAAACGTGCCAAGCAGAAGTGGGCAACTTGCCATTTGCTTTCGGTCATTTTGGGCTATGCTTTGCACTCTTAAAAGTGCTACTTCAAGATTGACAGAGACCCACTCTTGCATTGACTCTTAGTGGTAATCAGTTAAAAATCGTCCAGCTAAACTAGCGCCCGTGCGATCGAAGATGCGATCACGAACCGGATAGCAAAAGTTCGAGGCGCTTTTGCCAATCTCCGTTACTTGTGGCATCGGTGTTACATAACTCTCATGCTTAAAATACGGCATTTACAGTGCAGCCATGCGTTCCAACCTTCTATACGGTTGCAATGCCTGGCCTGTGGAATAGGTTGTATCACGTGCGCTATAGCAAATGATTGGGGTACTTTATCTCATCGCCTCTATCTGTCTGCACGTCCATCCAACTGCCCAGCCCAACCACACGCTTCCGAAGCCTGACTCATCAACTCGACAAATGTAGCGTTTTTATCTGGTTCCTCGCAATTAGATTATAAGTCGCATAGATGAGCCACCCATCCGGGAAATCACCAGACGATCGTTTCGTCCTATTGGGACTCATCAGTGGCGCGCATTCCCTCGATCACTTGTTAGGGATCGAACACATGACCGCTAGCGGCTTGCATCACTAGCCAGTGGCTTATGCCACTGAGCCAAGGGGGACGGTAGCCGACTATCACGGTTTGAGATATAGTCGCGTTCGACCATATCTGCCTTCGCAGTTAGATCACGTCTGTTGGGAACACCTCGTGAGTAATGAAAGTGTTTGGCGCCGTGTATTTGTCGCAGGAAGAACGAGTGTACCGCGCAGCATCATTGTCCCACGTACCAGGCTCCAATGGCTGGTCCACGTGTTGCGCATGCCAGCCCACCGACTCCCTCGGCGTGCGTTATTTGCGCGCCGGGGTTGCGGATGAAAGAAGAGGAGGAATAGCCAAGCGATGACTTGGTCCAAAGGAATGAAAGCCCTCATTTCGCAGTTAATATCGTTTTGAGCTTCTCGACTTCCGGATTTGGGTCTTTTTGTATTGTCGCACTATAGCTGAGGTATTTCTTACCTTTAGCTAACATGTAATGTTGGCTTGTAACTGCCACCGACGTCACAGCTCGTTTCTATACCGTGTTTTGGTGTCCGTACTTTCCACATTATTTTGTTCTGGGTCATTAAATTTCACTTTTTTTCGGCTCGAAATTGAGCGTTTTGCGGTGAACTTGCTTACTGTTGGTCGGAATAGCACCACATTGAAGTCCTCGGGATAGGCCGCCTTGGTGGATGGCGCACTCACGAAGTCAGTGGTATACGTGCATTTGTTTCACACCCTTAGTTATTCCAGCTGATAACGTAAGTACCTGTTTATTACTCCTGATTCACTATTCCTACTATCATTATGGCAGCGTAAGTCAGAGCAACCGAATCCATCGATGTGCGGATACAAATTGCTGACTTGGATTTGCTCCTGCAATATTTCTCAGTGCTAACTCCTTTAGATGTCACACTTTATCAGCTCATCGTTGTTCCTATCTTGGGCGCTTCGTGCTTTAGAAGAAAACGCCGAACCGCGTCATATGGTACTTCGACGATTGTTTTGCGTTTTCCGCAGAACCATTCTAAAATTGGCTACTTTCCTCTGATTATTGCCATGTGAATTTTAAGTTTTACACTGTCAACTGTTTTCTCATTAATACAACAGGCTAAGTCAAAAAATGATGTCTACCTGTTCAATCACGCGAAATTTACAATTTATTACCATCGGGTCCAAGATTCGTGGAGTGGCGGAGACATAAGCCGCATTGTTGGGATTGTGGTTGAACCGCGCAGGTGAGCTTTTATTTTGAAATCTCCTAAACGGATACCTCATTTTGTGGTGATGTTTTATGTACATTACTTATTCACTTCATTTACGTTTTTTACATCAGATGCTATCAGTTTGGGGTGTTTTGATCTTCTTGCTTGACCTGATTAAGCCGATTTTTTTAATCACATATACCTCGCGTCACCGTGTTTCATCTGCTAAACTACCTAGTGCTATTAGGTTTAGGCTTCAATGCCTTAGCCTGGTCAGGTAGACAGTATTTCCGCTTTGCTCTTTTTTTACCTAATCGGCTGGTATTTATTTTTGCCTCACATCCTTGGCCGCTCTTATTGTCAAGGCCCATCTTGTAGTCCTTCTCTTTACTAAGTTGTACTACATCTGTGTGGGAGGGAATTACCAACTCCTGGGATAGCCTGTTTCAGTAGTTCTTCATTCCTGGAATCTTGCGCTGCCATATAGGGCACTCGTTCAACCTCTAGGCTGAAAGGACATAAAATTAATGCGCACTCTTGGTGACCTGTGTGTTGAGCCGCTTCGCTTGCGGTGCTGCTACCCTGACTGATGTCTAATCCGACCGTAAAAACCAAAAACCTAAGTCTCTAGATTGTGTGTAATCTATGAGGAGCAACGGTTCTATTTATCGATCAACCGTGCATTCTAACTACAAAAATCATGACCCCCCCCCATCTTCGACGTCCTGGCCTCCACTTATGTGGATATGTTCCTTGTGACTGATTTTCCACATCGCAGCTGTGTTCCATACTTCGTCGGTTCTTCGCGCATCCCACGCGAATCCCGTTCACACTATCGGCATAGCCTAGTGTCGAGACGTCGTGCGAGGTGTTCGCTCTGTTTGGCCACCTAATAATCTGGGAACCTTAAAGCTGGCGTGCTAACTGCTTAGGCGCTCTGATTATTCGCGCTCAATGGCAGGAAGAGAGGTAACAGCAGTACGCCAGTACGCGGTACCGACGCTATGCTGCCGCGCAACCACCGGTCGCGAGTGGGCTGAGAATACTGAGACAGTCGGCCGGTCTCCCATGCAGATTCGAACCCGCGACCTCAGGATTACAAGGCAGGCTTGGAATCCTTAAAGCCAGGGGCCGGCACTCTAGTGGTGTCAAATTTTGCCTCGGACATCTAACTTCAGGGTCAATAGTCCTCGGTACGCTCGGTGGTGCCTCCGGGCATCTTGAGAGCTACTCCTACCAGGTTGGTCAATGGTGAGAGGTCAGACAAACTCAGTCTCCTGGTCCTCCAGGTTGGGGGTTTGAAATGGGATGGCGTCCATTTCTGTAAAACTAAATCATTGCCATCGCGCTGCCTTGCGGACAGGCTTTTGAGCCAATGGCTTTGGATGAGGACCCTAATCGTTCTCCTGTCTAGGTCTGGGCGCCCTGGCAGTATCGCAGCCCACATACAACCATGACATTTTCTTCAAATATAAACTTTATCCTGCATCAGCCGTCGCGCAGGTTATCAAGGGTCGCCTTATCTGCTGCATACGGCAGGACGGATAAGCGAAAACATGCTACTGCTGGCGCCTCCCTTCTTTCTTTCCCACATGTTTCTCTCACTCCCATCCCGGCCCCCATTACTAACCTTCCTTCTATAATTCCCAGCTTAATTGACAGCAACCAAAGTGCTACTGGAGTAGAACCATCTGCAGCCATCATCCCACAGCACCTATTGGACGCCTATCGGCAAAAGTCCCTTATAAGGCCACGCTATCCCGTTTCCATGGCGACGTTCAACGTTCGCACTCTAAGACAAACAGGTCAGCAGGCTGCACTCGCACGCACCTTAGACACACTGGGTATTGATGTGTGTTGTGTGTCCGAAACTAGGATCAATGAACCTAATGGAGTTGTTGAATTAACTGCACCGGCTTATCCTCTCGTTATTGGTTGCACGCATCCGGAGACGCCGATGCGGCACTCACGGGTCAAGCTGGTGTAGGTATCATTCTCAGCTCCAAGGCTGAGTCATCGTTGGTTGATTGGATTCCGGTGAACAGCCGTTTATGTGCAGCCCGTTTGACGACATCAGCTAAGGTTGATTCACGAAGTAGTACCACACGCTGTTTGTTCGTGCTTTCCGCTTATGCTCCCACCGACTGCAGTTCAAATGCAGTCAAGGACACATTCTATCACGAACTGAACGCGCTACTACGCAGTGCTACTAGTTCAGATATTATAGTACTTGCAGGGGAAATGAATGCACAAGTAGGGCGTCTGAGCTCTTCAGAAGCTCAGCTATTTGGTAAATGTGGGCTTAACTCCGAGCGGACTGACAACGGTGAGCGTCTGCTGCAACTGTGTGCGGAGCACCAGTTGTTTCTTACTAGCACTGCTTTTAGCCACAGTGGGCGCCGAAGTGCCACTTGGCGTCCTCCTGTAGCTGGCCAGCGATGGACCCAAATTGACCATATAGCCATAAGTTACAGGTGGCGTGATTCCATCCTGGATTGCCGCTCGTAGTGGAGTACCTGTGTCGACTCTGATCATGCCTTGGTACGCTGTCGTTTCTCGATGAACTTTACCGGGATGCGCACCAAGCGTCTCCTCCGATTGGCAACTGAGAAATTGTCCCAGTCCTCGGTCAGGCAAGCCTATCAAGACGCACTGCATACTGAACTTCCGCAGTCTTATCTTAATGACACTGAGCTTCAGTGGAATAGGATCTCGGCCGCCATGCACGACGCAGGAGCATCTGCTTGTGGCACTATCAGTCGTCATCGCACCAGTCACTAGATATACGAGAGGTCGGTGAACCTGTTGAAAACTAGAAGACACCTCCTGGCTGGCTCTGAACACAATGTGACCAGACGGGCTATTAGGCGTGAACTAAAGCGGAGCCTACGTGCTGACAAGGAAGCCTGGTGGACCAGTCGGGCTCAAGAAATGGAGGAGGCAGGAGCAGTAGGCACTTACCGCAAGCTCTTTCAGTTAATCCGCACCACTGGTCCCAGAAAACCAGGCGTCAGTGAGACAATAAGAGACAGCGCAGGTGCGCTAATACACAATAAGGAGCGCCGTATGGCTCGTTGGGCGGAATACTTTCAAGATCAGTTCAGCTGCCCCCCTGCTCCCGGACCTCTTCCTACTGATGCAGGACGTGCCATGGACGGTTAGTTTAGAGCCTCCGTCGGAGGCCAAGGTCCGAAACGCGATCACAGCCCTTAATCGTTTTCGTGCCGCTGGCCCGGATTCCCTCCCACCTGCAGTATTTAAGGATGGAGGTGAGGTCCTCTGCAAAGCACGGACCTCCTTATTCGAGTGTATCTGGAAGGAAGAGAGTGTGCCGGCTAATTGGAGTGAATCGATTATAGTGGCAATATACAAGAAGGGCAGTCGCACAGACTGTGCGAACCACAGGGGGATTAGCCTAACGCCAGTTGTGACAAAATTACTGGCCTCGATTATCGTTCGTCGCCTCACTGCAGAACGGGAATCTCGGATTAGGGAAGAGCAGGCCGGTTTTCGCCCAGGACGTGGCTGTATAGACCATATATTCACTTTGCGGCAGGTGCTGAAGCAGCGCCACGCATACCGCAGACCTACAATAGCTGTGTTCCTCGATTTCAAGAGTGCGTTCGATTCAGTCGATCGATCGATTCTGTTCGAAATACTTGCGCGGAAAGGTGATCCCACGAAATATGTGAACATCCTTCGTGCTCTTTACTCGAACATCACAGGCCGCGTCAGGGTCTATAGTGTCCTGTCGGATAGTTTTCCGACCACAAGTGGCGTTCGTCAGGGTTGTCCGATTTCCCCATTTTTGTTCAATTTTGTTGTGGATTCCATCATGGAGTGTTCCCTTGCTGAATCGCACGAAATAGGCGTTGAAGTGCTGCCTGGTGAAAGGTTAGTTGATTTAGATTATGCAGACGATATCCTCTTGCTTTTCGATGATGTTGGGGCGGCACAATCAACCCTGAATAGCCTGTCCAGAGTGGTCCCATTATTTGGTATGCACTTCGCACCTTCAAAGTGCAAAGTGTTGCTGCAGGATCACCAGCCACTTCATGACTGCTTGACGCTTACTAACGAGGAACTCGAGGTGGTTGATCATTTCACTTATCTTGGCAGCTGCATCAGCAACTATGGGCGCATAAAAACTGACGTGAGCTCACGCATTGCAAAAGCCAGAGCTACCTTCTTGAACTTGCGGCATCTTTGGCGACAGAAGGGAGTTTCTCTCCGTCTGAAAGACCGTGTATACAAGGCCACAGTGAGGGCCGTTCTGCTCTATGGTAGTGAGACTTGGCCGCTTCGGTCTGAAGATCTAAAGCGCCTTCAAGTCTTTGATCATCGTTGTCTGCGCAGCATTGCTGGTGTCGGATGGCACCAGCGTGTCCGCAACGATGATGTGCGTAGGCGAGTACTAGGAAGTGATAATCATGCTTGCTCTCTAGAACAACAGATAGCACTGAATAAGTTGTGTTGGCTCGGGCACGTGCTACGTATGCCTGGTCACCGCTTACCTAGGAGGGCCTTGTTTAGTCTGCCAGATGTAGGGTGGCGCAAGGCTCGAGGTGGACAGAAGTTGACTTGGCAGCGGGAAATGAAGTCACTGACGACCAAACTGGGTGCCGTTGGTCCGTCTCGCCTTCCGGGATTGACTGCACGTGACTCGCCTTGTGCTTGGCTCGAGACTTTACAGGACATGGCTCGCAGTAGACACCAGTGGCGCGTCTGCTGCCGTCTCCTAATCGGATTGTCTGTTTAAATTGTGTTTGGTGCTGAGTTATCTGTGGGGTAATGGCTGATTATGACGCGTGGCAGTGAAAGCCGCAAGGAAGCTGTCTCGCCGATGCCGCCTTATCTTTGCACGATAGCCAGCTGTTTGTGACGGTATGTTGTCTACACAAGGTGTAGGCGCCTTGACGCTGAATGTTTGCTTAGGGCGTTAAGGTTTTCAGGTAAGTCCCCCTTCTCTCCCTCTTCTTATTCTTTATTTCATAGGTCCTCATGGTTGTATGGCAGCGAAGCATCAGTTCAAATGGCTGATGTACTGCTGTTGGTGATGATGATGTGGTACGCTCCCTAACTCATAATCCTGCTCCATCTCAGGTGCTTGCTTAATACCCGTCCTGCGAACATTCGTTTATCTTGTTTGTATGTACTTGGGCTGTATTTGCGTCAGTCAGCTGTTAACTTTTTTTGCTGCAGTCCTCATTTTCTCACGGTTGCTAGTTTTTACTATGGTGTCAGCGTTCGCCCTGATAAATCACAAGGTTGAGCATACTCTTGGACTCCACAGTGTATAGTTGATTCACTCACCCTCATTTTTTATATTCTACACATACTACAGATGATCTTCCCGATTCTTAGTGTTTCCATTCAACCGTCTTTCCTATACACTCTTAACACCAGTTCATATTTCTGCTTACATGCCAAATGAGTGGTATCGCTGTCCGCCGCTCAGTGTTCACTGTCAGTAGACTGTGTTGGATCACCTGCTGACTTGATGAGTCGTCCTCCCTAGCTGCTTTTCTGATGCTGCTGCATCTGATTTCAGGAAACCTCAAAATGACCAAGTGGTGATATGCTACTGAGGTATAAAACGAATGGTCATGAAAACCTATTCTGCTTGGTGTGTGTGCTATTTTTTAGTCTCTTTGGCACGCATTTTGCGACTGTTCAGCTCGTCTCAGAACAAGGTGCAAGCGTGCGCTCTACTTCTTGTTGTGACACCTAATCTACTCAGGCATCCATAACTACGTAAGACGTTGGAACGTTCGCACATTATACTGCGTTTTCACACATATCTCGTGTCGGTTTTCTTCCACTCTAGGCCATCAGCTCTGGTCTGTCTTCTCCTTATTACATTTTTATGGACAGGCGACGTTACCACCGTAGCCAAGAAGGATCTTTTCTCCTCTAAGTGTGTACTGTAACTTTTGGGCTTGATACGCTGTGTTTTTGCAGATCGGTAGCCACATAATATGATGGAGATTTGAATGTGGATTCTCTTCTCGTCTGTTCCCTCATCGTTCTTCGTATTCATCGAGCGCACAGTTGACCGTTTGGCTCATGAGCTTCTCGGGAGCGATGTCCTATATATAGCTACTTCCGTAGTCCGTATTGGTGTGTTTATAGTGGAGAAGTTCATTTTTGCCTCACCTTCTCATTCCAGTCACGTTGTTGTTTTTGTCGTTTTTGTCTTCTGACTTCTGTCGTCTTCTTTCACAGTAATCGTCCCATGCTGCTTCGCTTTACCGCTTATGTAGTTTAACGCAACCATCGCTTCCGTCCGGAGTTTTTTCAACTGGAGTCGCATAGTAGTTATAGCATTCAGTCTTCTGCAGATAACATCTCCCCATTTGCTTCAACTAACGTTCCGATTATTTCCTTTCATCACTCTGTTCCAAGTAACCGTTTCCTCTTCATTCAGACTTTACTACAGCCGTATTTTGCTTATTAATTACCTAAGTTATTAAGGTATAGTACAGTATGTTCCACTCGCGTTCTCTTTGGTTTATCTGGTCACTCAGGCTTTTCTGCCTTCACTGTCATTTTTTACTTTGTTTAGCATTAACCATTCGCCTACTTCTCTGGACTGCGACTCCGTAAGGAACCCGTTGCTGCTACCGGCTGCTTTGAACTCCAATCTATACATAGCTTACACATACAGTGTCGTATTCGAGGTGAGCTTGCAATTCTTTCTTATGCTTTTCTGCCCATCTGAAGCACTTCCATTCTCCAATCAGTGAAATTTTCGTCTTGGTCTGTCCATATCGGAAAACTGGAGCTTAGCGTCACGTGTCTGTCTGCTTACTTCTTCCATCCATCGGACTGTAGTGTATAAGGTCTTCAGACCCTTGGGAGCTGTTTCCATCGTGTTGGGCTATCGTGAGGTCAGATGAACAGTTTTCACTTCCTCTTTTTTGGGAGTTGGAACGTAGGTGGGTATCCGTTTCTCTAAAGCCGGATTATTTCCACATTTCCACCATTACGGCCAATCCTTTTAACTTTGGTTTAGAATCTACCCAGGTTTGTGCACCTTGACATTAAGTCAACGCATGTGCAACACGAATTTTTCATCAGAATTTTACCCACCTCTTGCGTCGTACGTCACACAGTTTGGAATAGATCGCTTGTTAAGCCCTCCGAAGTTCAGTTAACTGGAAAGTTTGGTCTGAACGCATGGACAATAGCGAGCATTTATTCTGTGTGCCCAGGAGCACGTTTCTCAGAAACAGAACCGCTCTTAGACACAGTGAGGTGGGCCGCCGGTATTCCACTTGGTGGCCAGCAGTGGGCCCAGTTACATCACATCACTTTAAGTTTCAGGTAGCGTAGCTCCATCCTTGACTACTGGTCGTTCTGGTATGGCTGCGCTAACTTTCATCATGCGGTCAAGTTTTATAAACCACCGGAGGGTGTGCCAGACTTTTCTATAGATTGGCAACCGAGACATATATATATATATATATATATATATATATATTGTAACAGTCTATGGATAGACATTGAGCCATCGGAAACCATGGAACTCAAAACATGGTACAGAAATAGTAAAAGAAAACACGACACATCAAAATCCATGGTTTCCTCAGAGGGCGAGATACTACCCGGTTGCCCAAGCCGAAGTAGGGTTTTGACTTAGGGGACACCACCCCGAGTCTTTGGCTGATTAACCTGCCCGCAAGGCAGCGGAGCGAATTCAGGGAATCGCGCCCATTAGGAGCCGGTGACTGATTGCTCAGTTCATACGCCTTTCGTTTGTTCCTTTGTCAGAGAAGGGCCGAATGCTCCCCAAAATTACATCATAAACTTGCTGGAATACAATGTTTAGCCAGGATGAAGCAAGGGGCAGTGACTTTATTTAGTGGCGAGTCACGTCCGCCACGTCACAGTGTTGTTAAACGGACATATGTGGCTTTTTATAGGGGGAACGCTTGCCAGGCGAAACCCATCACGTCCTGGAACACTGCCGCCGAACCATTTGCTGGAACGGGAAAATCCCGAACCACCCAACTGGCACCACGAGGAGGTTGTTCGGCAACCGAGAAGTTATCCCGGTCCTCGGTCAGGCAGACCTACTGCAATGTCACGTGTACTAGACTTTCTCCTAATCACTTTAAAGATGTGGAACAGTGTCTTGACCACCACACTCGACGCGTGAACCTTTATCTCCGGCACTATCAATCTTCATAATACGAGATACTGAATATCCGAGGGGTCTGTGGACCCACTTGAACCAAACACAAAGTGACTATACGAACTGGTAGACGCGAGCTAATACGAAACTTGTGTGTTGACAAGGAAGGCTAATGGACTAAAATGGCTCAACAAATGGATGTGATAGGAACGGCAAGCAACTACTAAACGATCCGCATCATCAGTCTCAGCAACCACTGTCATTGGAGCAATCACGAACAGAGCATTTCAGCGAAAGCTGTTATGAGGAACTCTATGCTGAGCTCATCCAGGAACATTTCATTTGGCCCTCTCCTGGTGGCTAAGCCTTTCAGGCGTCTTGTTTGTAATTTACTGGTTGCCATCTCGAGTCTATGTAGATAAAAGTGGTCTGGCAGTATGCCTGGTCCGCATGCGATTGCTGTTGATCGCATGATAGCGGAGTTCGGTTGGATGTTTGGCGCACTGCTGATGCCTTGTTTGCCTCTAAATCGCTTCATGTTCAATTGATGCACCGGTTGCTATAGCGGATCTACCCGAACCAGGTTCGAAATACGATCACAGACCTCAATCGCTTTCGCACTGCCTATCCGGATTCTTTCATACCTTCGTTATGGTGGTGGGATCTGCAAAGGGTTGGCCCATTTGTTGGAATAGGTCTATAAGAATGAGACCGTCTCAGCCAACTGGGGCGTATCAACCACTTGTAATATTCAGAAAAGACACCTACATTGTTTGTGTTAACCAGTATGGTATCAGCTTGAATCCGGTAGTGACAAAACTATTAGACTCCATTCTCGACTGTCACCTTACTACGAAACAGTAATGTCGGATTTGGGCAGCGAAAGCCGGTTGTGGTCCTAAACGGAGACATACAAACTATTTTCACTGCATTCAGTGCTTGAACATCGCCACAATTACAACTGATCAACTATGTGACTCCATTCACCGATTTCACGAACGCGTTGTCTCAGTCGATCGTCTACTTTGTCCGATATACTTATCCGGAAAGGTGTTCCCGTTATTATATGATAAATTTGCTTACCACGCCTTCAAACACCACTAGTTGCATCTTGATCTATGACGAACTAACCGACTTCTTTCCGACAACATGTGCTGTTCACTTGGGCCTCACAATTTCCAAACAACAACTTTTTGCTTACGTCTTCATTATGCATTGCTTCTTTGCGGGCACTCACGTAATAAACACAGAAGTGTTACCGGCAGAAAAAGCTTATGATGCATCTACCCATGGGGGACGTATTAGCTGACACACTGACACAAGATCCAAACACGCGCAACGATTTTAGAGTGTCTTTCCGTCTAATCTAATTAATTGTTCTGACGATTGACATCATACTCTGGCTGAACACTTGTTCTACTTGGCAACTTGCTATGATACCTAATTTTGAGCATGTCTCGGAAATGGTAATACTAATTTTTGTTAGTTCACTTATGAGGAATCCAGAACTGAATTTTTAAATCCGGGCTGCCTTAGGCGCCAGAAGAGGGTTTCCTTAGATCCGTTGGTTGTGTGTACAGGGCCACCGTGGGGCTCTTCTACACTCTCCTCTGCTATCTGAGGATCTGAAGCACCTGTCATTCTTCTATCGTCGGTACCCGAAATTATTGCTGGGTTTCAATGGCACCTACATGTCCACAACGACGACGGGCTTAGGCGAGTATTACACGATGGTGTTTAGACAAGTTCCTTAGAGAAGCAAAAGAAATTAAATCAATTGCGTCGGCTTGAACGCGTGTTATGTGTACCAGTCAAGTACTTATTTACTTTACTAATGCGTAAGAAAATTTTTGATAAAATTTTACCTATTCGTCCCATCGGTTAACTACTCAGATAGTATAATCACCATTCCGGAAAACATCGGGCGTGAGTTTCATCCTGTTGGAGCTCGTCAGTGTTGGTTAAAAATAACTCGAAGTAGCTACAGCCTGAGTAACATCGAAGCTCAGTCGCAGATGGACAAATTTGATGTTCTTCGTCCTTTACACCCTCGAGGCTGGAACCCACGCGTCTCAAATTTTGCTTAGCTCAGAGAGATCCTTTGAAGTGAAGCTAATCATAACCTGCGGAGCAGTGAAAGCAGCCGTTTCACTGATGCCGCTTAATCTTCGCACGATAACCAGCTGTTTGTGACCGTGTGTGTTAGTAACAATGTGTAGATGTTTTGACTTCTAATGCTTACATAGGACATTTAGGTTTTAGACTTGGCCCCCTCCTCTCATTACTAGTTTTCAGGACCCATATCCGTCCAACAAGGTATCAACACAAGGTACTGGCGGTTTTTTGTTTCTGTTTACCATGACCGCTCTCCTAACACAGCACTGTACGCTGCATTTTGAGCCTTGTTTGTACGCTTCATGCAGTAGTACTTGGCGTGGCTGGAAATTGAGCTCTCAGCCTCGCGATTTTTCTTCAGTGGATGTTTTGTTACAACAGCCACCGCGGTAACGCTCGTCACACCCTTTCTTGGCATTTCCCACCGTGGTTTTTACACACAGAGGCGGCTGCAGTTGGTTTGGCTGGTGTTAGCATTACATTGAGTCACAAAGCTGAGTCCTCGCTACTCCATTGACAGCCGATTGTGTTCGGTTCGACTTCAATGCTCACGCAGTATCAATAAGCATAGTACAGTTCAGTCTACGCTCCAACCGACTGCAGTTTTGCATCAGTTAAGGACGACTTTTATCGCGGACTCCAACAGCTTTTGAGTTAAGCCACAAAATCCGATGTCATCTTTCTTACGGGGGACTTCAATGCATGGGTCTGTCGCCTGCTGCCATGCGAACGTCACTTTGGTGACTGCCTTGGTCCAGATGAGACTCGCTCTGATGACGGAGATTGACTTCTCACGTTATGTGAGAACAACCAGCTCTTTTTCGCGAGCACGAATTTCAGGCATTTGAAAAGATGCACCACTACTTGGCGTCCACCTCCGCCATCACGAACGTGGTCACAAATTGGTCACATAACAATCAGCTTCAGATGGCGGGGTGGTGTACAGGATTGCAGATCCATTTGGTTCACCTACCTCGACTGAGATCACGTTCTGGTCTGTGCGGACATCTGCGTACGCTGGATACCAACAGGCTAGCTAACCACTCCATTCAACTGACTCATCAATCCTCTTTCTCAAATGCGTCTGCTGGTATTCCAAGTACAGATTTTGAACATCACTGAAATTTCTTACAGAAAGCGTTGCTTTCTTCTGGTCAATCATACTGTACTAGTCGAGCGTCCTTTGTGAGACTGGACCACTTCTTGCTCACTGGAATTGTTTGACCGTCGCCGAGCTACCCCAGCTGATTCAAGCTGCGAAAAAGTCCGCCGTAACCCCAGCCAACAACTCAAGCAAAGCTCGCGTAACGATCGCGCAACTTGGTGGTCTCAGCGCGCTTCGGAGATGGAGATAGCTGCTCTCTCTGGAAATTTTTGCAAACTTATCCAAATCATTCGGATCACTGGCCACAGAAGACCTGGCGTCAG